TGTAGATCAGTATGTAACAGAAAAAAGTGGGAAAATGGGAGAGTTGATTTTAACGTAACTCATGTCTTTTCCTTATATTCTCTCCAGATCTGACTGCCAGCTTATATCATGGACATTATCTGTGAAACAAGTCTGGGGTGTTCAGATGATTTTTCCTTCTTCTATTATATGAATCTGTGATAGAATAGAGAAGGACTTGGACCCTGCAATAATACTGTGAGTCATTCAGATCATCTCTTGGTAACAACCACTACCTAAAGCCACGTCTTTTTGTTTAGAATACCAGCACCGTTTATCCTTCCCTAAATGTACCTTCTCTTCCCCTCGGCCATAGTCTTCCGCTCACCTGAAAGGCAGCCTCCCACGCTGTTCCCCAAATCATGTAAAATAACTTAAGAATGAAAATGCCTTAAGTAACTAACATTACACAAATATGCAATAACGCAGATTGTGACAGGATAAATATTATGTCTGGGAAGATATTCACAGCAAGAACGTACTGAAGGAATTTCATTGTATAAATGTGTTGGGAAAGGGTGCTATTTTGAAAGTGGGCGAGATTAAAGCTGCCGGGGAGCTCAATGTAAATACAAATTCCGCCAAAAACTCAACCCCATCCTGACAGGCCACAGAACACTTGGCCTCACGGGGTTGGGTGTGGACACAGCAGGAGGGAAGCGACTACCCTTTCAGTGACAGAACGGGCCCCCTCCCCTTTACCAGTGATGACATGTGTGCATACCTGATGGCCGTCCAAAGGCCTGGCTAGTGGTTTCTAGGGAATCTACTTTCTTAATTATACAAACCAGAGCCCGGCTATAACAAAAACACAGGTGTTACTGAAACAGCACAGGTTCAAGAAAATGTCTAGCTCATTTGTTCATCTATTTATTCATTTTCAGGCATCTACTCTGTGTGGCATAGGGCTATGCTGGCCCTCCAGGACCAAGGTAAAGTTCCAGATTCACAGATTTTGGCCTGGGGTCCGTGGGTCCCCAGAACGTCCATAAATGGATTCTGGCAGCCTAGGAACTGAAATGATATATGAAATTCTATGTGTAAGTGAACCCGTGTGTTTTTTTTTATCCTTGGAAAAAGGCTTCTGAAGCATTCTCAAAAGTATCTATGATATTCTCAAAAGATTAAAAATCATATTCTAAGAAAACCTAGAAAGAAATGTGCAGTGGACTATCTTTCCTCCCCCATTATCAATGATGCAGCTGATAATGCAGCTGGAGAAATTTCTTCTTTGGTTCTGAAATGAAATTACTAAAGCTATATTTTCTGATTGTTCAGTTATTCTCTGACTGATTAAATACTCCAACAGGGATGAAGCAGTCACAGATTTCATTGCTAAAATTTCTTTTCTTTCTTTTTTTTTTTTTTTTTTTTTTTGAGACAGAGTTTTGCTCTTGTTGCCCGGGCTGGAGTGCAGTGGCATGTCTTCGGCTCACTGCAACCTCTGCCTCCCAGGTTCAAACGATTCCCTGCCTCAGCCTCATCCTCCTGGGTAGCTGGGATTACAGGCACCCACAACCATGTCTGGATTTTTTTTTCTATTTTTAGTAGAGATGTGGTGTCACCATGTTGGCCAAGCTGGTCTTGAACTCCTGACCTCAGGTGATCCACCCACTTCAGCCTCCCAAAGTGCTGGGATTACGGGTGTGAGCCACCACCCCCGGCCACCAATTGCTAAAATACCTTAAATGTCTCTCAGCTGAAGCCATGATACACTTTCTTGTCATTCTAAAGGTGGCAGGTGATGTAGCACCTGCCTCAACTGCAGATGTAAACTGATGTAAGCTGCTCAGTGAATTCGTTTCACCCAAGAGAATCCCCTTCGACCCTGAACTTTGATTTTTTGGGGGTGTCATGGAGTCCCAGTCCATTTGGCTAAAATGTGAATTGTTCTAAACAACAACCTCTGTGCTCACATGACCTGTGAGTTCAGCCTGATCCTCAGAGCTCCCTAACCCTCATCTCCCAGGGAGCTGCTATCTCTTCCTCCTTTGTAAAGGAGCGGTCGATTTACATAGAGATACTGAATCAAAGGGAGACACATTCCAAGGGTGAGATACACCCTGAACCAAGATTTAAACTGCCAGGGAGAAAAAGGAGGGAATGGAAGGAAAGAGAGAAGGTTCAGGCTTCTGTGGGGCCAGTGTAGCCAGCAAGGCCGTCAAAGCCGGACAGGCAGGTTTTCCCAGTTGCGGACTGAACCCGAGGTTAGGAGCTGTGATCCTGGATGGCAGCCAGCGCCCAGATAGATCCGTTTTGTAGAACATAGAAAAACCCTTCCATGTTCAACCTCTGGCAGTTTCTCTGAGGTTTACAATCCCCATGGACTGGCAGCTGGTAACAGAAAGAGAACTTCTTTTTCTACCTTTCATTTTGCACCACGTACAAGGCCCCTTGGAGAAACCATCAGACCGGTGGCTTTTGACAGAATTCAAAATTGGCATTGAAAGTGTGGATGAGCCAAGAGCCAGGGCCTTCTGAGCCACGGCGTGGTGTGTCCATGCCAAGGGTGTATTTTCAAGCACATTTTCAAAAACAGAAAATGAAACCATCGTCTTAAGATCACTTAATAAAATGCAATAAAACTTTTAAAGGATAAGATTCAGTGAAGAAGATTAAGACTAATTGTCAAAATTAGTGAGAATCATCTGCTCTCTTCCTAATGGGAAGCAAAAAAAAAAAAAAAAAAAAAAAAAAAAAGAAGGAAAAGAATCTGGCAGGCTTTGGTGTTGACACTTACACTTGAAAGAGAAAAATCAAATTATATTTTACGACTATGGAAAGAAATTATGAGACAGAGTCAAATCAGGCCTTCAGACAGCTCATTTAGTTTTGCAGCACTGACCAGAAAAAAAAAACATATGTATAATATATGTATATACATATAATTCAAGACCAACAATATTCACATCCATAGTAATTATGTTCCATTAGTGTTCCTATATTTTTTATTGCTTATTATCGATGGTGGGAAGGAGAGCCTGTTCAAAATATTGTCCGTTTATGGCATTTCAATTAATTTTCTCATTCCAGGGTATGGGAAGACGGCCCAGCCTTGGTTGCAGCTATTTTACTTTTTGGGGTTTATGCAAACTCAAGGGCATACTGGCGCGAATCCTGCAGCCAAATGCAAACACTCCACACCTTGGGGAAACAGTTCACTGTTACCCAAGTAAACACAAGCACCTATTAGTCACCCACTCAAAACAGAAATGGCCAATGAGGGATGCAAGATCAATCCTCAACACCAGAAAAGAAAGCACGCTGCTTTCAAAATCTCATTTTTTTATTATCACTGATTTACTGTGCATTGCCAGAAAGCCACTACTGAACTTCTTGTGGGAAAATGTCACTGGCATGGATCATTAAATAGTTTTAAAAACTTCTATAACCAAAACCTAACATGTAGACCTACACAGATGCATAGTATAATAATAACATATTCTCCAAAAAAGCAATTCAGTGATACTCAGCTATTGATTCCTAACAGCAGAAATCCACAAGAGCTGAATTAAGAGAGTTAGCTAGGCTGATGGGCATGGACTAGGCTGTGGGGCCTTTGTCTTTTATTGGCTTCGCACCCGCTCTGCCAATTACTCAACCAAAGCCTTTAAGATGTTTTCTGAACACACATCTCTGAATCATAATGCAAATTCCATTTACTGAAAGGTGGGGACTTTTAATATAACAAGGGAACCCATTTAATGATTTATGCTTTTATATCTTATAGCATCACTCATGCTTTCAAAAAGTGGATATAATTTTCTTTGCATTACCCTATTATTAATATAGTACTATGAACATATATTTTCAATCACATATATAAATTTTTTATTTTCTCCAGCTAAGATTCTATTATGAAAATGCTCCAGATAGCTAGGATAGCAAAAATAATCACCAAAATAGTCAACACACATTTACTCCTTTCTCCTTTCTGACTAATCAAATTCCCTGAGAACTGAGATTTTCTTGTTTTTAAATGTCTTTATAAACAGTAATAATTTCTCTTACTTTAAATGTTTGATTGGTGCTTCTATTACTGGAAGTGTTTTTATTATACTTGAAATAACTTATTTGTAAGCTTGTTCTGTACTATATTACAAAAATGAGTTAAAAAAACTATCTTAAATCCCTCAACTTTTAGTACTTGTTGCTGTTTATAAAATATGATTTAGTTTTTAAATATACAGAAAACATAGTACTTGAAAATAATTAGAAACCAGAAAAAATTACAATATGCCAAGATTCCTGTTTCTGCTCTAATACTTTGATAATGGGTTAAAGGCAACGAAAAATAAAACCACACATAGAGCTGAACTAATGCAACAATTTCTTGGATAGTGCAGTCTCTAATATTATTAGTATCTAAAATGTTAACCAGGCCCAACCCCTCCTCCTAAATAAGGCATTCAAAAGAAATACAACAGGAAGGTCACACTGCCATCAATGGTACTAACACTATTTCTTCATGTCTTTTCCTAAAAAGGTAAGCTTGCCGGAAACCATATTTCAACATCATACACTAGAGCTCCTAAAATTATTAGAAGTGATCATTTGAAACTCTGTCACTTGTCACAGATAGCCCACAGATCATACGTCAACAGTTTCCATTAAGTAGATTTTGTATTGTTATCAAAGAGAGAACCCTCGTTGTGTAATCCTAGTTTCCATTAAGGTACGTTTTATATTATTTGCATTTTAATAAAAATCTCAGGGTTTTCTTTGAAATTCACAATTCCTACTTTGCATGTTCCAAATCAGTCTTAAACCAACTCAGTAACAGAAAGCAAATAATGTAGAGTGAGATTCTGCTAAAAATATTAAACTTTAAATCAATATTTTTAAGAGCTTGACATAGCAATAAGAACATTAAGACAGAGTTTAATGTTTCTAGGAGTTCCATCACAGAAATCACTAGAATTCTGAAATATGGGTTTTTAGCATGAAACATGTTTCAAGCATAGTTTTGACAGATAACGTACCTCTTCCACTTCGACCGACAAACCTGAGGTCATTGAATCTTGCCACTTGGTTCTTCATGGCTGCGGTAGCATTTCTCAGCTCAGCAGAGTAGTTTTCATCATTGCCGGCCATCACAGTGACCAGGGTGCCATCTGGAACGTCCCCTAGGGCCACCACCTAAGCACCAGTCAAGAAACAAATGCAGACATCAGGAATGTTATACATACACTTTTAGGGCATTTGTGTAGTGATTATTCTAAAATTAAATATATATGTGATGATTTTTTTAGGTTGTAGAGGAATAGCAATCATAACTTAAGGAAAACAACAGAAAAGTTATAACGGGAAGACATTTTTTATTGTATTTTAGGTTGATGCAAAAGTAATTGTGGTTTTTGCATTTTTTTAATTCCAAAAAGCATAATTACTTTTGCACCAAACGAATACATTATGCATAACTACATGTAAATTTTCAAATAATGACACATTTACTAACTTCACCTAATAAAGCCAGATAAGGTCATATAGCACAGTTGGAACAAGACTAACCATAGCGAAGTATCAAGGATTTTGAGTAGCTATGCTGTCTCCTGCACACAATCATCTCTTTTTAATTCCTCCCACTTGAGAAACTGAACATCCTGTGTTCGTAAATTTATAATCTAACACATCTTTTACTCACTCAGACCTCCACTGACAGACTGAACAAGGCCCAGACTTTACTTTTAGAAAACAAACAAACAAAACCAAAATTTATTTCTGCTCAAATTAGATTTCATCTTGCTGACGATTCTTAAGTAATTTCAACTATCCCTCTACAGTTCATCTTTGATACCTCCTACTCACTCCTATTATCTTGAGTTTTACTAGCAATGAATTCTAGCACACAAGAAAAAAAAAATCAGAAATGTATCCTTTGTTTATTACTAATTACAAAATCAACAGACCTCAGAAAGATGGGCCATTCACTGCTATGCACTCCTCTCAATTCAGGGGTGAAACTGGGTTGCATTTTTATATCTGTCAGTCCCAAGGTGTGTCAACTCATGTCCTCACAGATGCCTGAGGTTTTCTGCTAGCCCAGCTGATCTTGACCAGGAATTTCTTTAATGTAACTGAATAGGTATGAAGTCTTATCAGGGCTATTGGAGAAAACTGGTAGATAAATATTTTTTATACTCAGGTAATCAAGAAAATGAATTTCAAAGTAAAATGCTCTGAAAAGCATGACTTAAAGACACTTCACACGATAGTAACAATTGCTTGGCTATCATTCAGACCTTCTAGAAACAATTTTCGAGGTCTAGATATTTATTAGCGCTATATTTCCATTGTTTCTGTTTTTCAAAGGAGTCATGCAATTTCAAATCGAAATGCCCCAAGCTGTAATTATTCTGATCAGTTCTGACATTCTTTATGGCACTTTCTTAGTCAGTAGTGACATTTATATTAACTCATTCCAATTACATCATCATTTTTGGTTGCTGTTTTTGAATTGGTAACAGTAAAGCATTCCTTAATCCGCTGTTATTATTCCTTCTTCTGACTCCTACTTTCTCATTTTTACCTTAATAATTGCTATGTAATTTTTTTGGTAGTATGTTTTTTCTGGCCTCTTTTTCTATATTTAAAAAAAGACTGCTATGGACTCACTTGTATGATATCAAAGTCATGTTTCTCAAGATTCCCATCTTCGTGATCTGTCTAGCCATCACCTTTCCCTGTGGCCTCCAGATGACCATCTATTGTTTTGATTCATTAGAACTGTTTCAGTCCTGTGGTTCTAAGAAGCATGGCACAGAACATGAACTAACTCACTATGAGAGATAAACATACTTCCAACCCCAAGACTACACAAGGATAATCTAGTCTCATGGAAACAGGGAGGCATTTTCCTCTATTTTACCCAACTTGCACTGTCAAGGTCTGGGCCTTTTATCTCTTGCTTTAATCCTTTCATTCCAATTGTTAGGCATGTTTTCCATATAGGAGATTTTAAAACACTGCTATTTATTCCCCAAGTACCCTCTAATTAGCTATTTAGTTCCCATTATAAGTGTGTTTGTTGCCATTTCATTAAGAGCAGTAATACAATTCCCTTTTTGTTTTAAAAAGATATCATTGAAATAAATCTCCCTGATCAGTTATTTGGTTATTGTTACTGTTTTTTTTTTTCTTCTATTCCCGAAAAATGGGCTTGCTTTATTTTGCTCTTTTTAGTCTCTTACAACAAATTTTCTCCCGTTTTTCACTATTTTCACTTCCCTTTGTAAAGTTAGCTCACAGTGTTGAAATGTCCTTTTTGAACACATATTTTTACTTCCTCATCTTCATCTCCCTGTGGTGACCCAGGCTTCTCAATTTTAACTCAACATTCAGAAGGTACACAGGGACTGCCTCGGCTACGTGGGTTTCAAACTGAATAACTCATTGTTGGGTCTGAATCTGTAAAAAGATTAAAATAAACAAATCCCTTTTTTATAACTACAGGAATGTATTCTGAATTATCTGCCTCCTACTGCTGGTTCCTCTCACAGTGCCCCACGCCTGTGCCTCTCTCATCTTTCCAATATTACCCTCATTAGTAATCTGGCAGATTCACGAGAACTTCGCCAAGTCGAAACAAACATAGGATAAAATTATCATGGAGGCTAAATAAGAAAAGATTGTCGATGTTGGAATTTAAGAATTAAAAGAAGTTTAACTCTCGCTCCTCTCTCTCTCTCTCTCTCTCTTTCTCTCTCAATAAAGCAAATCAAAGATATTTTGGCACCTACATATCATTTACTTGGCCTTGTATTGATCTCTGAGGAATTTTATTTTTTGGCAGGGGCGGGTTCAGGGAAATTATTAAATCCAGGGAAATTTCATTAATAACGCATATTGCCCAGTTGTTAACAAGCATACTGAAGCTAGGTTAAAAAAGTTTTTTAAATTTAAACCTAACATGTGTGCTAATTTGATACAGGTTTTGTCACTGATGGGCAATATGGGGAGAACGAAAAAATATCTGACTTCAAACAGAAAAAAGGAACAACTGGGATGAAACGCTATAAACAATAGGTAAGGAAACACAAACATTTACATTTTAACACAGACCAAACAGGCAAGAAGGGACTTGCTGGCCAAAGATATCTCATATTTTGTTTTACTTCTCTGTTTTTAAAGTATCAGGAAGTTGGGCAAAATATCAACTCTCTTCTATACTACATGGACTTCCCAATACTGTTCTTGGCTAGTCTGTTCACAGTTCAAACTGGCATTTTAAACCAGTTCTAATTAGGTTGAAATTACAGTTACAATTCATTTACTTCAAATCCCTTAATCTTCCAGTGCTTCAAAGAAGGCTGTGGAGTGGAACATAGAATTCAGCTGAGATGACATTTAAGGCATAGCTTGGGACCGTGATCTTGCCGACAGAAATATTACTTGTTTCCTTTTTATGAAAAGAATATTACCATGAGAATCCAAGGTCTCTGAACTTCCCTGCTGCAGGCATGTTTACGTCTTTGGACTCTGGTGTACCAGGACCTGAACAAGCTATAATACTATGGTATTACAAAATACATCCTAAGTGATCAAAACAGCTTTTTAGGCTACTTCTGTAAATACAGCAAAACACACAGCAAATGTAAGGTTTTCTTAGTAGTAAAAGCCATGTATATCTCATACTCTAAAGGTGTTCCATGGGAGGGAAGGAGTAGGAGGAGAACAGATTGGGGTCCAAAATAAGCAAGTAGGGTTATTCCAATCTATTTTAAAGAAAATTTGTAATTTTAATTCTTTCTTTAGTTTAGAAGATTGATGTAGAGGATTTACCTCTAGAACTTCAGAAGACTCCTAAGAAGCCCTTAAATGATATTTTCATTAATATCATCAGGCCTTATCATTGTTTCATATTTGCTTCTTTTATCATGGAGAATATAATAATTATTTACTGATTTACTTCCTAGGGAGATTCCCTTCGGCTTATTTCAGATCCAAATTTTAAAATAATAATTTCTGTAGAAACTGTTGGGGATGTGGTTGGGTGGGTGGATAAATAGAGTGAAGCCAGGGACATACAGTAAATGAGCCCGTGATGTAGGCAGGTTTGGATGTTTTGCTTCTTTTATCCCTGTTTTATCCCTTCACATTTACTGTCTCACTGAACATTGTGTCTACTCTTCTAGTTATGCAGAGAGCAGGTCTCCTAGAGAAGAAGTCTCTTTTTATGAGGATTGGGGTGGTGACAGATATTAATCAAATGGTCTGATTTCTCTGCTATGCTTTCCTTTCGCCCAAATGTTCTCAAGAGGCCTGCCTGAACTTTTTCAAGAGATCTATATTTTGATTTTTAGTAGCCTACAGATTATCACTCAATAAAATAAATTAATTGTTTTTAAGTGAATTGCCAAAAGTCATTTTAAAAAGGAAACTCTAGGGTTATTACGATTTCTGCTAAAAAGAGTCCTGATGGCTCATAAAAACAGTATGTAAGATTTTTCATTTTCTTTTTAGAAGAAAATAAATACTTTCACGTAATGGCTTGAGACTCTGAATTGCTCCAACTCCTGAAGATTCTTTATTAATCATTTAGTGTTTTGATATATTTGAGTGTGGGTTCCCTGGCAGAGGAGGGAGTTCAGAAGAGACCCTGATTTTCCCCCAAGGGAGGCCACAAATCTCTTGGAGCCCTGGTGCATTGGGGCAGCCAGGTTTAAATGGCCTTTGGTGGTTATCAGCCTGTCTTGCCTCTGCTCTTATCTGATAGTGACCCCATGACCCAACCCTGTTGGGTCCCCTCTCAATGCGGGTGCCCTAAAAATTCACCACTGAGTGCATTTATGCAAAGGGTTAGAATGATGTAAAAGTAAAATGGTCTCCCAAACCCAAATCTAAGTAAACGAAAGGAGGGAAAGAAGAGTCAAGCAAGTCGCTGCATTTCTTCTCCTCATTTCCACCCCCACTGAAAAACAAAACAAAACAAAAAACTACTTTTGGAAAAGTGAGTGGAAAAAGAGGCAAATCTATAGACAGACACAACTGAAAATTTCGTTGTTTTATAAATCACAGCCTAAGTGTTGAAAGTGTATAAAGCTTAAAAACAACTCTAACAATACTCTCTTAAAAAGTGAATATTATTCGATGTAATAAGATCAAGACCCAGCTGAGGCCTGGAACTATAAAAAACTTAAATTAATCTCCTCTTAAAGGGGACAATTATTTAAATATTTTTTTTTAAGTAGCTTATCTTTACACTTGGAACCACCTACCTTGATTAGCCCTTTAAATGAACAGGAAATGACCCGCACTGATTTTACTTAGTCGCATCTTTTTAAACCCACCAAAGACTAAACAGAATCTCCACTGCAGAAATTAAATTCCCACTGCAGGCTGTTAGGGTAGTAGGGTGGTTGTTTAGAAACGCCTGGGGTTGTTTTCATACCCCTGTTGAAGGCCAAGGTTTTTAAGGGCAGCTCAAAGCTAGGGGATGATCAAGGGTGAAAAGTGAAGGGAGATCTTTGGAGCCGCCGCACTGAAGTCTCGGGCTACGCGCCTCCCCCTCCTCTAACAGGAAAGCGGCCGCTGGGACCCCCGGCTCGCCGAATACAGCCTTGTCGCCTTTCGCTGCCCGGGGCTTAATCTAGGTGAGCTGATGATAGCATTCAGAATGGCTTCGGGAAAAGAAACAGGATTCGCTACTTGCAGCCTCTGGCAGCAGAAGGCTAAAAAGCTCAGAGAACTCTTCAGAAAACTTTTGCAAATTGAACTACGCCCGCTGTGGACTTTGGACATGCTAATTCCTATAGGGCGGTTAGAGAAGGGGGGAAAAAGTCTGTGACAGTTTCTCTTGTTAGTTTCTTTTCACTGACTCGAAGGTAGAAAAGTATCAATCACTATTTTATTTCCTGATGCCTTCATCTGAGGAAGACAAAATGGTTTGGGAGTTAAGCTAGCGGTAGGGGCAGCAGTAAGTTAGTTAGCAGACGGGCTGTCCCTGCCGGGCTGGGTTACAACTTTTCCTACTTTGTATCAAAGCTAACGCCCCTGCCAGGGAGGTCCCAACCGGCCCCGAGTGGATGTATTTGGGGTCATCCTGATGTGTTCAGCCCTCCCGGGAAGGCCGCCCCAAAAAGCGGAGACAAGTCCCTCTCGAGGGGTCGCCACGGCAACACAGCATCCCCCCGCATCCCAAACTAGGAAGACGGACCCGGGGCTGCCGGGGCCAGTTTCTAGAATCCAGCCCTGCCCGCCCGGCCGCTGCCCTTGCGGATCGCCCCGGGCCTCGCCGGCCTCCGCCTGTCCTCCCACCACCCGCGCCGGGCCAGTACCTTGAAAGCGATGGGCAGGGTCTTGTTGCAGCGCCAGTGCGTAGGCAGCACGGAGCAGAGAAAGTTGGGGCTGTCGGTGCGCACCAGCTCGCCCGGGTGGTCGGCCAGCACCTCCACCATGCTGCGGTCGCCGCTCCTCAGCTTGCCGGCCAGGGCAGCGCCAGCGTCCGGGGCGCCCAGCGGCAGCGCCTCGCTCATCTTGCCTGGGCTCAGCGCGGTGGAAGGCGGCGTGAAGCGGCGGCTCGTGCTGGCATCTACGGGGATACGCATCACAACAAGCCGATTGAGTTAGGACCCTGCAAACAGCTCCTACCAGACGGCGACTGGGGCGCGGATCTTCAGCAAGCAGCTCCCGGGAGACCAACATACAAGTTCAGAGGCCTTTATTACTGAGGGGGGAGGGGGGTACTGGTTAGGGGACCCGGGAGACTAAGTTACTAACAGTCCAGGGTGGGTTGGGGGGGGGCAGTTCTGGCTCTGCCGATCGGCCTCCGACCCAGGATGGGCTCCTAGCAACCGACCGCTTAGTGCATTAAAAAGTGGATACTATCTTCTTCGAGTCTTGCTTGCAGAATTTTAAGTTCAGTCTTTGGCTGTTACAAAAGGTCCTGAAGGCAAAATTCTCATACACTTCCTAAAATATTTATGCGGAGAGTAAAACGACCAGCAAACACATTATTTGGAAGTCCCAGTAGTTAGTGCCTGTCAGCTTTCTGCAGGTGAGTTTTGTCTAAAGTCCCAACAGAACACAAGTATCTCCCATAGGCAAGGCCACTTTTATCATGCAAAACTGGCTTCAGTCCTGAAAAGCAAGAGCTGCGACATTCAGAGGTCGTGCTCCTAATGTATGTGCACGTATATATAAATATATACATATGCTCTACTTCATAAAATATTTACAATACAATCTGTGGAGAATTTAAACACAACAGAAATCCATTAATGTACGCAGCAGATTTTTTTAAGTAGCCTTGAAAATCAGCTTCAGCAGTTGGAGCAGGGCTGAACTAGAAGTACTCATGTTCTCTGTTCTCTCAATGAATTCTGTCAAAATGCTCAGTGCAGAAAATTCAGCATTTCAAATATCTTCAGCTAATCTTAATAATAATAATAAAGGAAGAAGAAACAGGCCCAGTCGATGACACTCAGGGTACTACAGCTCTCCACATCTGCGAACTCGCGTTTGGGGATGTTGGCGAAGTTTGTGGCTGGTCCTGTGGTTTGGTGGGAGTTGAGCAGCCGCGGAGTCACACACACGCAAACACGCACTCTTCGGAAGCCAGCCGCTGTCTACATCAGCTGGGTGACTCAGCCTCGACTCGGGCAGCAGCGAGACGATCCTCCTCCACCTTCGCCCAGTGCCCCCCGGTTAGCTGTTCCGAGGCACGAACACCCACGAGCGCCGCGTAACCGCAGCAGGTGGAGCGGGCCTTGAGGGAGGGCTCTGCGGCGCAGATCGAAACAGACCGGGCGGCTCGGATTACACACGCACGCACACCCTGCCACGCACCCTGCCACGCACACGCAACTTCACGGCTCGCCTCGGACCACAGCGCACTTTCTCCCGCAGTTGTAAAAGGAACACAATCGGGGAAAAGTTCACAGCCAGGAAAGAAGTTGAAAACATCCAGCCAAGAAGCCAGTTAATTCAAAAGGAAGAAAGAGGGGAAAAACAAAAACAAAAAACAACAAAAAAAGGAAGGTCCAACGCAGTCCAAGGAGAAGCAGCAGAGGTTGACTTCCTTCTGGCGTCTCTAGGAGCCCCGGGAAGAAGTGCCTGGCAGCGCAGGGTCGGGCAGCGTGGTGCCCTGGCTGGGTCCGGCCGCGGGGCGCCCGTCCCGCCCGCGCCCGCTGGCTGTATGAATGAGAGTGCCTGGAAATGAACGTGCTTTTACTGTAAGCCCGGCCGGAGGAATTCCATTCCCTCAGCTCGTTTGCATAGGGGCGGCCGGCGGCCAATCACAGGCCTTTCCGGTATCAGCCAGGGCGCGGCTCGCGGCCGCCGGCTCCTGGAATTGGCCCGCGCGCCCCCGCCGCCGCGCCGCGCGCTACTGTACGCAGCCCCGGCGGGGAGTCGGCGGCTACCCCCGCGCCCCCGCACCCACGCCCGCATCCTGGCCCCGGGCCCCGCCCGAGTGCCGACCCCTTCCCGCAGCCACACGCGGGCTTCTGCGACTTCACGAGCGGCCGCGGTCCCGAGACCTGGGAAGAGAAAGGCAGGCCCGGGCGGCCCGAGGAGGACCCGGCCCGCGCGCCGCGCCCGGAGGGGCCGGGCCCCGAGACCAGCTGCTGGCAGGCCAGCGGCCGCCGCAAGGCTCCCGAACCGGGACTGAAGCCCGCCTGCGGCCCCAGATCCTGCGCGGCGCCCAGGGCCAGGCCTCCGCTTCCCGGGTGGGGGTGAGATTCGGCCGCGGGGCCCGGGGGAGTCGCTCCGCGTTCCTACACCGCCCGGCTGGCAGCTGCGGCGAAGCGGCGCTGATTCCCTGCATGAGGCCGGACGGCGTCCGCGCGTGTCGTTTACTTTCAGCGGCTTCCCTCGGGTCGGTTTCTGTAAAGGGTGTTTGTTTTTCACCGCTGCGTTGGGCCACGGCTCGATCCCGCCGCGCGCCTCACCCTGGCTGCGTGCGCCAGCGGCCCGCGAGGAGTTTCCTAGTCAGAGAAGACCCCAAAAACGCGCGGCTGGAAAGAAAGTTGAAAGCAGCCGCGCGGTTCGCTCCCGGGCCTCGCAGCGCCGGCCCCCGCAAAGGCGGGACAGCCCTCCCGGGCCCCGCGTCTCCCCTCCGGCTCCCCGGATACGGACCCCGCTCTTCTCCCCGCCCCGCGCGCGCGAGCCGCCCCAAGTGCGGAACCCACCCCGGCTTCGCGCGCGGACGGCCGGTTCCCCCTGCCTCGGTCGCCGCGGCGCCGCGGGCATTTTCGCGGAGCTCCGAGGGCCCCGCCCCCGGCCCGGCGCGCGCGGCCAACTCCGACCCCACCCGACGGGGCTCTGTGCCCGCGGAGGCTGCTCACATCTCCACGAGTCCCCCCACCGGGGCCTCTCCTCCATCCCTGGGATGTGACCCGGAGCCCAGCTCCACCGCGGGCTTCTTTGCAGTCCCCGCGGAGCCCCTCAATTCAGCTCCCCCGCGCAGGGGTCCCCCGCCCAACCCCACGGGGCCCCTGACGCCCGCTCCTCCCTCCCCCAGGGCTGCGGTGCTGGGGCCGCTGCCACGCAGGGACTGTCCCTGGGCGGGACAGTTGTTGCCGCGGGCCGGGACGCAGGAGGGGGCCGGGGCCGGGCGGCGTGGAGGCCTATCTCGAGCGGGCTGGGGCTGCGCGGAGCTGCCGGGACGCGCCGCGGGCTCGGGAGGACGCCAGGGGGCAGCAGCCGCCCTCGCTGGAAGCCGCGCGCAGTCCCCAGTGCGCCCGGAACACCCCCGACGGCGCGGGGCTCTGCGGCCCGCCTCGTGGCCTTCGAGTCGCCCAGGAAGAACCGGAGTTCGAGGAGAAACGACAGGAAGCGGCCGCCAGAGCCTACTTGAGCTTGAACGGCCGCGACACGTCTCCGAGGTTCCGAAGCCTCCACCGGGACTCTCCTGGCTGTGCGGCCCAGTCGAGTCTCTTCCCGAAGCCCCTGTACCTGGGGCCTGCCTCGGCCGGCTCGGGGCTGTCGATGCTCGCGGAGCCCCGATTCCCGTGGCTAAGGCTGGCGACCCGCGGCCTCCGCCCCCTCCGGTCTCCCCCTGCTCCTTTCTCGCAGGAAAACCCTGGGCATTGCCAGCACTCTAGTGCAGATTTGTTTCAATGGACCTGGGGTCTCAGAAAACTTCTTATTTTTAAAAATGATTTTTTAAGCCTAATTCCGGTTGTAACCAGCCCCCAGCCAAACGTCCACTTTCTAACTCTGTCCCTGGGCAGAATTCATCGTGCCCGCCAAGCCCGCCCGCCCGACCGTCCGTCGGGGCCGCTGCGCCTTTGCCTGCGGGCTCGGACGCGTCCCACTCTAGAGGCAAGTTCTGGGCAAGGGGAACTTTTCGCCTGGGCTCGAATGCATTTCCCCGAGATCCCACCCAGAACTCCTGGGGCCACCCCAAGTGTATACCCTGGACCCTCGAGATGTGGGAGGAAGCACGAGGGTGTGGCGGCTCCCAAAGTGGGCTTTGACTCCAAGGGAAATAGCAGACTCGGGAGATCTGCTTCTCGGAAAGGTGCAGGGAGGCTCGTCTGGATCTTGGGCCACTTGCCTAAAACCCTAAACCCTGCGAGGGGCTGCAAGTAGGACGTGGGCTGCCGTCTCCCGGGAGGGAGTCAAGTTCCCTTTTAGAGTAAGGAAAGTTGGTCCCAGCCGGGCATGCACCGCGTTTAGCCTTCAGAGGCTGCGTCGTGGGAGCTGCTCAGCTAGGAGTTTCAACTGATTCAACCGATAAATCCCGAGTTTGAAGCCCGACAAAAAGCTGATAGCTGCTAAAGCTTTAGCTCCTTGACTCGTTGGGATTGCCGGGCATTTGGGTTTCCCTGGAGCGGCGCGGGCTGTAAGTGCGCGCTGCGGCGCGCTCTTGAAAGCAAGAAACAGACGAACCACTGCCCCTCCTTACTGAGACTCTAAAATGAATTGAATAGAAAGAGGCTCGGGCTCGGGGGACAGGGAACCCCTTAGTCTGAAGGGCATTTCACGGAGCCTGCACTCTCAAGGCCAGCAACAGCGTGTGCGAAATGAGGAATTCCTTTCCACCAACAAGCTCTCACTTTAGCGGCAATATAGAATTCCCCTTCCTTTGCTTAAAGGAGAAAGGAAAGGAAGCATTACCAGGTTCATTCCCAGTGTTTCCTTGGAGTAATGCTAGAATTTACCTTTGTCATAATGCAAAATTACAAAAAAAAAAAAAAAAATGCAACGAAGCGATAGGTTGGGTGGATGCTACGTGACAGATTTTTCTAAATTTGTTTCGGGAAGAGGGAGGGAGGAGAATTGAAAAAGGCTCATAACAGAATGAAATGTAAATTTCTGCAGTATATTCGAAAAATAGTACTTGGTTAGTTGGAAGAAAAATAATTTCATTGGAAAACAGTAACAGTCATTGACGTTTTTCTCCAACTTTAGGAAAATAACTGTAGGTGGTCTCAGAAAAATAAATATTTTACATTTTTGCTCTTTCAAAAGCCTCCCGAAAATATGCATAAAGATGGAATTAGAATCTCAACAATTCTCTTAAAATGACCCTTTGCGAGTAATATGATATTTCCCAAATTACATTTGTAAAAATGTAATACCGCTAAAAGAATTATTTCTATTTTAAATGACCAATTTACATTTTTAAAAATAGAGAATGTATCTTGCTATGGTTTTGGACCAAATAGCTGCAATTTGTATTAATGTCACAGGGTTGGCAAACAATTTTGATGAAGAGTAACATGTATGTACAAATCACCTACCATACACACTATCCAGTTTTGAACATTGGAATTTAATTAAACATTTTTTTCTTCTGAAGTGGCTTTGAGATTACTTCACTTTTCAAATGTAATTACTATGGGGAGCAGAGCCCTTAGTTCTTCCATTACGTCCTTCCTCCATCTGAATGTTTCTGTGGGATGCTATGGTTAATGTGTCATTATTTCACTTTCACTTCATAAATCCATTGTGTACTTCACAAGTAGCAAGTTGACATTTTAAAATTAATCTTTTTTAAATTTAGGAATGCTTAGTAAACATTTTACTCTTATAAAAATTTTGCATTACCGCTGCTATAACAGAGGTAATAAACTGGGCTGCAACAGAAGCCAAGCTCTATTTTGTTTTTAGAGAGTTATATAGAGGCATTTAATAGCAGAAGGACCTGTGGTAAACGCTGTAGAACTGAGGGTATCATTTAAGCTTTCATTGAAATATTTTATATGGTATAACATCTACAACATGGAGAACTGGTTTTAAGTATTTTGGAATCAGCAAAAAGAGCCTTAATTACTTGGTTAAATTATATCACAGGTTATACATAGAGATACATAGATATAAAATCATAGAAACATATATGAATGTGCATATTTTATTTAAAAATATAACTTGGAATGAAACATACCGTGGACGTCTCTAGAAGGATTCATTCCAAGTATGCATTCTGAAATAATAGAAAGTAGGAAAATAAAAATAATGCAAGTTTAAAAATTCTCCCCCCACTTTTTTTTTTCTAACTCATTTTTCACACTTTTTAGCACTGGAGATTTTTATAGCTTTGACACAAAAATGACTTAAAATAGTAAATCACCAAATTAAAAAACTATTACATATGCACGTGGTTTTATGTACCTTCAACCAATGATTTCCATTGCTAGCTAATACTGAATATCTGTCGTAGAATCACCTCTTTTAAGCTCTGTGTGTGATGAAAATGTGATTTATTTAGCGAAGATTTAAAATACATTTGGAAGGTGTAGGAATTCAAGGTGAAATTAAAACCAAACCCTAACTGAATGCAAAAACATTTATGACCATTTACTTCTAATGATAGGACATTTTGGAAACATTTTTCCCTGCTTACTCTCCTTCCTTTCCCTTTGCTAGGCAGGCAGATTATTTCCATCTAAACCTCTCACAAGTTATAATAGATTATATCAATTAAATAATAGATTATATCAATTATTATTAGAAATAATTGTTATAATTCCCAAATATGGATCACTTACTGTATACTGCTGCATTTACACTATAGGTAAACCTATTAAGCAAAGTCACATGAAGCTCTTTTTCCTTCTTTTGAATATCTACATATAATGTGAATTTGAAATTATCAGTCTTGTATATTGATAACAGCACTGAGTAATGAAGAGGAAATACTGTTTTTCAAAGACAGGATTTGAGCATTTCAAATGATGATCTAAAGCTTTCAACTCCACACCACAATATTTAGTATACTGTGTGTTTTTTAAAAAACCTTTTAAAATAAGAAAAGAGACAATTATTTCAGATTTCCAGATGCTGTTTAGGCAGAAAAACAAGATTTGCAGCTCCTTTGGTTTTATATTTTTGCCAAAGCAAAAGGAACAACTAAAATAAGAGGTTCTGAAGGACTACTCTATGATGAAATATTAAAGGAATTAAATATGTATAGTCTCAAAGGACCATCCTAAAAAAAAAAATCCCAAGATTGTGGTTTACAAGTAGATAAAATGATTCTATGAAGTTTTCTTCTTAAAGGGCAAGGCAGACAATCATTTGCACTAATTGTGAATGATAAGGTAAGAAACAGCAAATGTATCCTGAAGTCTTGTCAGCTCAGTTTTAATGGGTGTTGGGATAGTGGGGTGGGGGGTGTGGAATCCACAACAATAAGGCTGACCAGACAGCACAGCCAGTGGAACCATGCACCCTGGAAATCCTCTCCTGAGACCCAGAGAAGCTTTTCCTTGTCTGAGTCTAAGAAATTGGAATAGGAGAGCAAGAAAACACAGGTTCATTTACACACCTAATATTTCAGCAATTTTGAGGAAAAAGCCAAGATTTTTTAAAATCAAAAAGGGCAAAAATGAGTGGATTTTGAAATGATTGGTACTATTAAACTATTCTCAGTTCCTTGTGTATCAGCAGCCTTGAGAACACAGCAAATGTGGTTAAATTGGGGAGGGGGGGAGGGGCAGGGGATGAGAAACTGCTGCCCAGGTGAAGTAGCATCTGTGCAGGTTTGAAGTGATTTGCCCATGAAGCTGCTAAAGACGCCAGAACGCGAACTGCAAGAGAGGAGAGGTTGTGTGTGTTTATGACAGTGAACAGTGAATCTGGTAGCTCCTCCTCCAGTGTGCTCACTTGCATGCTGTCTCTCTCTTCCCTCCATTCGCCATTGAATGCAATTATATGCCAGGCAATGGGAGAAGTGCTTTTACATACTTTTCCTGATTTAATCCTTACAGCAACTTCATTGCTATCCCCATTTTACAGATAAGAAACCTCACCCTTGGAGAGTTCAGGAAACTTGCCCAAGTTCACATCAGTCTTGACCCCCCGCCCACACACACACACCACATATACACAGACAGACATTCATATCTACATATAGGTTCCACATGCATGGTAAGCTATGTTCCTTTTTTTTTTTTTTATCACAATTATTTATTTTTGTGCCCCATTCCTTGAATACTTCTTCTGTCCCAGGCAAGGTGCTAGCCTCACTGGTGACAAAGGACAAACATGAGAGTAAAGAAGTGTTATGGCTGTTGGGGGACACATGTCCAGGGCCCTGGGAACTGGTGGTAGGGAAAGTAGGAGGAAGAGGGGCCAGCAGCCCCTGGTGGGCTCAGGAAAGACTTCCTTCCTGGCAGAGGTGATGTTTGACTTGATTCTTGGAGGTTGGGTAGATTTTTAGGTGGTTCCAAGAACTAGAGGAGGGGTTTAGGGGCGTGACGGCGGGGTGGGGAGATGGTGTTCGGGGCAGAAGAAGCATCATGAGCAAGGACGTGAGTCTATGAAGCAGATCACTGTGTTAGTTCCAGTACAGTTGGGGCATAGGTTTGAGACCAGTTTCGGGGGGGTGGGTGATGGAGTGTGACAGTTCACAGATACATGGACATAGATAGGTCATTGGAAGCACATGCAACCTGAGGAAATGTCAACCTCAATGTGATGGAAATTGATCTATCAAAGCCAAACAGGGAAATAACAAAATTAATATATATTTTAGAAAAATAAATCTGTCAACAGTGGCTCGGTGAATTGGAGGGTGTAGAGATGAGGAGTGGGGAGCCACTGCAGTTGTCAGAGAAGAGGTCATGAGGATCTGGATTAAGGTAGAAGCAATAGAGATGGAAGAGGGGCTTGGGGTGAGGGAGGGGGAGGAGTCTCCCCAGCATCGGCCCATTAATAGTAGTAGAGAAGACCAGAAATAGTGGGTTTGCAGAGAGAGACATCGGGATGTCTCTCTGAGCTTTGGATGCCCAGAACAGAAGAGGAGGTGCTGGTGGGGAAAACAGAAATTCTGAGGAGAGCTTTCATGTAGAAATAATGAGCTGAACATCTTCAGACTATCTATGGTAGTTTCAGATTGTATCTATGGTACAATCAAACTATCTATGGTAGTTTCAGAGACTGTTTCCAGTGAGAAGAGACCATTCACAGGTCTGGGATTATCAACATGCCAGGGGTGGGCAGAATAGGGAGCAGCTAAGGAGGTGATGGAGCTAGGAAAAGAAAGAGGAGAGAGTAAGGAATAACAATAAAGGAAAACACTAGCTTTGGAAGGAAAGACATGTCCCAAAGGCCACAGAGGCACCATGGAAATAAGAACTGAAAAGATTCCACTGGACTTGTCTACAGAGAGAGCCATGTAACCTTTGCCAAAAGGGATTCAATTGAGTGGTAGCAGAAATGGAGCAGAGAGTAGAAAGTGAATGGGATGTAGGGAATGGGACATTGAAACTTGTTGGAGGTGGAAGGGAAACTGGGGGGTAGCAGGGGAAGGGAAAGACCAATGTTGAGAGGTGTATGTGTATGTATGTGTGTGCACGTGTGTACGGTGGAAGCAACCTGAGAAAACTAGTGTTTGCCATGTGTATTTTACTGAAGATCAAATTCATCGGCTTCCACTCAACCCAGGTCTTCCTTTCGTTTTCCCCACTGCACCATCATTCTCTCAGTTTCCAGACTTGGGTCCATGGGTTGATCTTTACCCTCATCCAGTCTTTTGCCAAGTGTTCTTTCTGGATTTCTTTGGTTGATAACAATTCAGCCCCCCTTTCAATTCCTATTGACGCCATTCTTGTTCAAGTTCTCATTAGCTCTCAGCAGATATCTTACAAAGATCTCCTAAAAATGGGGTTCCTATATAACTGTATACAGTACTTCCAGATTAGTCTCCCACACCACAGTTCTGCTGACTGTGTTCTCCTGGGTATCTGGAATTCAAAGGAAGGTTTTTAGCACAGTTCTGAAGGACTAAGAGCCACCTTTCCTGTCCTCATCTTGGAGAGGGGCAGATCCTTCTGCCTCAGGTGAAATTGCCTCTCAAAGACCAATCACATGCTTCATCATCATCTCCACATCTCCTGTGTGACTTGAACTATAATATATTTTGGGTTATAGCTATTTAAGTATATTGGGGGGTGGGGCGGGTGAGAGGAGGTGGTGGGACCACCCCTTCCTTGGCTTCAGGTTTCTATGGAACAGCATTCCTTAGTGTAAAACTCTTGACCTTTTTTACATCTTCATTCTTCCTCCACCATATACAATTGAATTGCCTGGTTAGTAGTGTTAGAAGCAGAAACCAGCTGTAGAAGGCAGAAGCATAAAAGGAACCCCTCAAACTTTCCACCCTCATCCCTGGGTCTGGGAATATGATGCGCTATTATGCTCTGGTTATAGTACGTGGAATAAAAGATATCTTTTGTATATGTAATTAAGGTTACTAATCAGTTGGCTTTGACTCAAGCAACAGAGAAATTTTCCTGGTAGCCCTAATCTAATCACAGGAGACCATTAAAAACTGTTTTCTCAGTCTAGGGCAGAAGTGAAGTCAGCATTGTAGTTAGAGCGGACATTTGCAAGAACTAGAGAGCAGTCTCTAGATGCTGAGGGCAACCTCTGGTCTACAGTCAGCAAGGAAATGAGGGCCGCCATGCTACAGCCACATGAGATTGTATTCTGCCAACCACCTGCATGAGCTTGGAGGTAAATTTCTCCCTAAAGCCTCCAGGTAAGGACTCAGGATGGCCAATTCCTAAATTTTTGGCCTTGTGAAACTCTGAGCAGAGAATCTAGTACAGTCCCACCAGATTTCTGACTTGCAGAACTGTGTGCTAAATTTGTTTAAGCTGCTAAGCTTGGTAATTTGCTCGTTTGACAGCAAAAAATAAAAAAGCGAGTACCCTGGGCATGCTCTTTCCCTCTCCTTATTCTTTTGGGGAGACACTGCTTGGGTATTGGTGAACGAGTCTCCCTATTTGTGGAGTTCAGTGGCAGGAAGCCACACACCTAAGCCATGCTCTCCAAAAGTTCTATCAGTGACAAAGCTGATATTTTTATCTCCATCTGCTTGACTCCTTTGTCATCTCACTGTCAATTCTGGATCACTGGAGAGTAGGGGTACCTTTTATTGAGTCTCCTCACAGCCCACTAGATAATTGCCTTATTTTC